AGGTCAGTGGGTATGTCCATTTTATGGATGGCTCAGAGAGGTTAAGTAATTTGCCTAAGGCTGTACAAGTAACAAGTAGCAGATCTGGGATTTTGAATCTAAAATCCATTCTTTTAAGCACTGTGCAACCCCGCATTTCAGTTTCTCAGTGCTGGAAAGGAAGTGCTTCAAAACCAGTATCTGAAGGGCCTAGGGAATGTCTTGGGAAGGGAAAGGAAAGAGAAGCAAGGAGAAGTATAGAAAGGAGCCACATGTGTTTGGAACATGCAAGGAAGAGTGGTGGTGGGTGGGAGAGACTGTAGAGGCTGCGTGGAGATGAGATGAGGTACCTGAAGGAGGGTATGGTGAGGGAATGGGGCAATGGCTGTGGAGAAAGCTGGGGATTGGGGTTCAGGAGTGGGAGCTGGCAGCCAGAATGACAGACAGAATGACAGAACGTGAGTAGTGCCCACAGTGGATTGGGTAGCTGGAGAAGGGGAGGGACCTGGTGCTGAGGAGGGGTCTTTGTGAGGCACACAGCAGTGAGGAATTCCCCGCCATGAATACTAAGGGCAAGAAGAAGAGAAAGGGCCAGAGGGGGCTGGGTGATGTTTAGCTGCTGGGGTGATTAATGGGGGTGAATGGAGGGTGAAACTCAAACCCTTCGAACTGAGATGGTGGGGAATGGTTGTCCAAGAACAACAGTGCACTGTTTCATCCAGAAAGCCAATGTCCAGAGGAGGGGCAGTGGGGAGGACGCCAGGCACAGTCGCTCCTTCCCTTTTTTCCCAAGGTCTCTTTATTTGCCATCAAACAGTAAATTAAAATATACTTGCCAGCTCTGGGGGACTCTCTGGATGGGCTTCCTACCTGCCTCCTGGCTTGGGGGAGAACCAGGGGTGGCTCGGGAAAAAGCAAGTGGGGTTTTGGATGGCAATTGAGATGCCTCCATGGACTGCTCCACCAGGGCATGAAGTGTTGACATGCTGGCTGGTCCACTGGCTTCCCTCTAGACCAGACAGGCATGAGGAGATGCATAGGAGTTGGGTCCCTGAATGTCCTAAGGAAGGTAGCACATTCTTAAGGCAAAGTTCTTAGAGCGGGCCTGGCCTCAGGGAGGACAGATGAGTTGGGGGAAGGAGGAGGGAGGCCCTGGAATCAAGGTGTTGAGCTGCGTTTGAGGAGTGGGGGTAAAACTTGTGGGAAGTAGAGGTTTGAACTCCCCTCCCTCATTTCTGTCTCTCTCACTGGGTGCAGTTGCCTCAACTTCCCCACCAGCATTTTTAGAGAGCAGAATGAGGGAGAAGGGGATGAAGTGACGTCTCAGAGGACAGGAAGGGAGCTGCAGGCAGGGATTTAGATGGAAATTATCTCACAGAATAGGAGCAATTTTCTCCCCGCTAGGCCATTACAGATGTGAAACAACTGGCAGATCCCACTTCCTCAGCTCCAGCTATCCAAGGGTATGGTGCGTATTGAAGTCTTCGCCTCCTACGGGACAGCAGGATGGGCAGAAAGGGAGATCAGGATGTGTACTCAGGGGTCGCCAGCGGGCTGAGGGAGACCAGGAACTCCTGAGGGCAGGGGAGGCAGAATGCCCATCCCTGATCCCAGATCACTAAGAGTCCTGTCACTAGGGCTTAATTCCTGTCTCTACACAGAGCTTGACCAAGTTGCTTCTCTTATTGGGGTCTCGCTCCCAGTTCCCACTCTGTCTTTCCAGGAGCTAAGCCTACAAAGCACTTTGAAATCTGAAGTTAGTGAGAAGTAGTTTATCGAGTGCAAATACTCTGTGAGATACAGCATGACTTGACTGGTAATGAGGTAACCATTCTACAGAGGGGCCGAGTTCAAAGGCTGCATTCCAGAGGGGCTGGGCCTCAGTTTGCTTGTTCTGAGGGCAGGGGCTAACAGATGCTGCCCTCTGCTTCTCAGAGAAGGAAATAAAGGAGCCCACTGGAGAGCAATGGTCACAATTAACAATCTTAATTATGAATTAATAATTCATAATTATTCCAGACTTGCAGATAAGCACAAATCTGCTAAATTATTTCCCAGGGAGTGGGTGGGAAGGAGACTTCAGTGCAGCCATTACTTCTAGAGGCCCTTACATTCATTCCTCTGCTTCCCGGCCAGACCTGGAGGAGATTCATTCATTTCTTAGGCTGAGTCCTTCTAACAGAAACCCCCTTGCCCCCAAAGCTTCTAAACACAGTACTACACTGCCTCTCTGTTCTTCCTGAGGCCAGAGGGCCAATATGACCTCAGAACCTGGACTTCAGATTTTTGGGGTCTCTCTGTTTCCTGCCGTGTGTTCTGCTATTTATACATGAGATGCCCTGCAGGAGGGGCTGGCACTGGGTGTCTCAGGAATGTGTGGCGACCTTTCTCCCTCTTCTACCTCCCTTCTCATGGGGATTGCCTTGGACTGCTCATATTGTGATAGAAGGCCTCTCCAACTTCATGTGGGAAGGGAAATAGGGAGTACCCCATCTCCTGTGGATATTGTTGGTTCCAGGATCTGGATTTGAGGGGCTGACTCTGATCTCCTGAGAAGACATCTACATAGCATCAATAATGGGCTAGGGAGGCATGTCCAACACCAGAACTAGCTCTCTGCTGCTTCCCTCTCCAACACCCATAATCTCAAATTTCCACTCCAGCAGATTTTAAAACATCTTACAGAAACCTCGAGAAGAGCCACTCAGCCCCTCACAGCCCCAGGGGATCTCCTTCTCTCAGGAATCTGAAAAGGAGGAGAGATCCTTGTTCTTCCAAATAATAAACACCTTAGGCTACAAAGGGGCTCTATCTTCTGGCCATAGGAGATTCTTGACCACCATCTCTGCCGTGGAACCACCCTCTTCAAAATGCTAGAAGGAAGGAGAAGTGAGATCATGGGGCATTAGAAAGGATTTCTAACCTCAATTCTACAGCTTTTCCATCAGCCTCATCATTTGTATCAAATATGCATGTCAGGCTAAATCTACAGGATGAATTGAGTTGGAACATTGGGACCTAAAAGCACCCTTTTCAAAATCTGTGGGTACATGTGCATACTTGAAAAGCTGCTACCAAGGTGGATGATCAGCCAAGCACACAGAGTGGGCATCTAGGGCCATAAGGACCACACACCTTGCCCACCCTTCATCCCAAGCTCTGTCCTTCCTTGGCCCCACTTTTGGTCTCAAGAGGAGCATCAGTTAGGTGTGATCCAAGTTATCCAGATAATTAACTGTGAAAGCACGAGTTATCTTTGAAAAAATTCCGCTCTTTTGGTCTCCAAAAATGAGATCCTCAAATCCCTTCCCTCGCTACTCCTATTCTCTACCCCTCTCCCCAACAGACACTCCCAAATCCTAGCTACAAAAATTTCTAAATACAAGGAGTAAACTTTCTTGATCTACCATTTTTCTCCACCTGCAACTCCTGTCCCCTCCCCCTCCCCAATTTTTTCCCCTCTCCCGCCAGAGCCTCCGCTCTTCGCTTCTTTAAAAAAAAAAAAAAACGAAGAAGAAGGAATTTTCAATAGTCCCACTTGTCAAGCGAAGACCATCTTTTAACCTTCAACAGCAGCGAAAGCCGTGTGAACTCTCGGTGAACCAAGATTGAAGTCATAAATCACGCGTACAAAGGCGGCTGCGGAGGCTGGCGCGGGCTGCTGCACCTTTAACGCTTTCTGGGGCTGACAGGCGGCGGCCCAGCTAAAGTTCACAGCGCCCGGG